TCAAAAAAAGTGACATATCAAAATAGCTTTATCTATTTGTACAGTACCAGTAATCAAGTATGTGATTGATAAAATAGTGACAAACATTAAAAAAAGTGACAAAAATTTAAAAAAGTGACAAATACTAAAAAAAATGACAAATTTAAAAAAGTGACACAAATTAAAAAAGTTGTAGATTTTTCGAGCATAACCTGTATCTTTCCAACTCTAGCAAAAGTACTCATCCGACTTTATTCCTTTTCGTACTCACTTTTGTTTTAACTGCTATTCTTAAAAGCCATCTTTAGTATGCAGTAAATGGAAGAAAAATTGGTTTACCATAGTACCGAATATCAACAATAACTGAATAGAACTGTCAGCTAACGACCAAAATTTTTAACAATATAAGACATCAAGTGGACGATAAAAGAAGAAGAACAATGGTGGACTTGGCCAAAGTCAAATGATTCATTTTATACCAACTGTACCCAAAAAAATACAGGATTCATTCGCCCCACTCTTGTTGATATAGATGAATGACATATTCTGCATTTGCTAAACCATGAGAAGCGGTGTACCATATCATCAAATCTCCAATGTCAACGTAGTTGAAACTGCCACGAACAATTTCTTTGATGCTAACCAGTTGGCGTAAGGTGGAATCTGTACTTCACTGCTTTGTACAAGGAGATTAAACATAGTGTTGCAATATATATCAGCAAATATGACGAGATTGATAAGAAGTTTTATTCAATTAAACTTGATTAGAAGAGAGCTATTTTTCATTGTGGCTTCCTATAAAAGTGTCAGATGGTTATTTTTAGAAGTTTTTATAGATACTTTCACATTAGAAGGCTAGCAGAATCAAAAGTATCAATAACGCATAGTAGAATTTGGATCTGGTAGTTCCAACAAAAAGAGATGGTTTGGTTTCTCCTGTATTTTCTGTTAGACAAAAATTTGATCCAATACTCAAGGCTGAAAAATAGATCGAGAAAATTAAATGTCCATAGATTATACCTCCAGCCATTTGTGTCGTTCTAGAGCTTTCCATTGTTCAGGTATGGTGCTTCTAAGCCTTCAAGAACTCCTTGAGATGGAGTATTTTCGTGATAGAGAACTTAGGCTCAAGGACCAATACCACTATTCCCATTTATATACTTCTTCCCATAAAAGAAGTTATGTCAAGTGGTTACCACGGTGGTTAAGAGAAAGTGGTTAATCTCCTGTAGAGGGAAATGTTGGATGCAAAAGAAAATTCAACGAGTTTATTAGTATCTGGTAATTTGACAAACTTATAATGGAAAAGTTAAGAATTTATGGCCTGAAATGCATACGGATACTAGAATTTGCACATGGACATATAAGTTGAACTACGTATAGCCTAATCATAGTATATATTTACACTTGCATATGCTTTACTTGTTTCTATAGATATGAAAGATTAAAGCTTAATCCATAACAATGACCGACACAAGACCAACTTACCAATTGAAGATGTTTCATTGGTAAGGTTTCTATCTGAAAAGGCGGAATTCACATCCTCATACCAAATGCTACAATCGAAGCTAGAAAACTCCCAAGCCCAATTGCCACCAAATTGCAGAATATTTTTATCGAGCAAATTGTTCAAACTTTTGTCACAAGCCAAAACATTGAGATCTCTTCTACATTGAACAAAGCCATACCTCTTCCCTTCCTGGCCAACATCCAGTATCCCCTTGTTAAACATCAGGCATTGAATTGGAGCAGTAGATGCAAGTTTCCTGATGAAATTATTTCTTTGAGAAACCACTCTTGGATCTTCTGATAAATTTCTGGCAGTGGCTCCGGTATACAAGTTTTCACTCTGTCCAATGAAGTTTTTGATTGAATAACGTAAAAAAAATTTTTTAGCATATACGTAGAATCAGTGTTGTTTGCACACTCGCTGGATTTCTTGACTATGCTCTTAATACAAGTCGAACAATTTTGTGCAGAAATGACGGCTCTGCATTGCAATAGGCCATAAACTGATATAGAGTTTTCTCCCCATGTGGGGATGTGGATTATGATATGGAGGAACTCTGGAAGGAGATGAAAGTATTAAATATGGTGTAAGCATGTTTTAGGGTATATATCTAATTTTTTATTTTTTTAGAGTAGTGGGCCTAATTTCCCCTTTTTTTAATTAACACATATGGAGGCCCTTTATTCTCATCCCAATTAATATAGAATTGGCCCACTGAATTCTATAGAATATAGAAAAACCCTTTGCCTCTTGTTTTGAAGACGGAGAGGATCAGTGCTTAGGGTTGAAAGGGGTAGAGTGTAATTATCTCCATACAAGATTTCTTCATTTTTACAGCTTAAAGAAAGGAAATGGAAGCTCAACCACAAGCTATTTGAGGTATGATTTGAAGAATCATCATCAATTTTTTAGATCTTTCTTTATGC